ACGGTTTGGGCCGGTGTATTCTTTCCACCAATAGTAATGCCATGTGGCGGTCTCTCATTGGCCATGCCAATTTGTGTATCGAGAACTATAAGCAATTATTTTTCTCTTTTCTAGTGTTGGTTTCTTGTTTTTTTCATGTTGTCCTTGGATTGCTCTATGAACAAGAAGAATGATATACTGATTATTTACATATAATAATCACAAGAGTTTGGCAAACTAAATAAAATTTGGATGGGCTCTTGCATCACACAATGGTCAAATTTTATTGGAGGAAACGTTATTTTCTCCTCTTTTGTATTTATTTTTTTTAATTTTCTCAATTCTTTTGCTATTTATTGGAAAAATTTGTTTTGAATTCAATTGTTCAAATAACCCATTGCAACCTATATGATGTATTGAATAAAAGGATGCATCGAGAACAAAACAAAAAAAATATGCGACGTATGTAACGATTCGTAGATGCTAAGCCCATCATGCACCATTTCTTTAGGTTCGCAAACATGATAAATTGGAATAAATTAGGGTCTTTTTTGGAAAGAGAAATGTACTAAACACCTTTATCCTATTCTTACTTTTATTTGTAGTATACTAGATTGACGTAATTGACATTTTTAAAATATGCATTTGTTTTGGATGAATTTAATCATGATCAACCTCTATTTCAGTAAGGCATTGGCCTGTATGAATGTGTAGATCAATCATTATCGGGCTAGATTATATTACTTTTTCAAAAACGATTATAAGGTTTTGTAATAACAATGAGGTTGGTTAGCCAGATTGTGAGTATTTGTGATCCTCACAATATTGTTCTAATGTATGCATTTTTGTGGTTGGTGGTGTGTTGAGCCTACAATTTGCTCTTCTTTTAGCTCTTTTGAGACTAATTGTTTTATTCGAGCCAATCCCTTGCCTTGTTCTTCTTTTATATATATACATATTGTCAATGTCAAGCGTCTATTGATAGCTTGCTTTGATAGTGTCATTGCTTTTTTTGACTTTAGAAATGGCATGGTGGTACTCTTAATCATTGGATGGAAGAGTACAGAGTGGAAATGGTGGTGAAGTCAACAGTTCAAGCGGGCAGTCAACGTTTTGAAGAAGCAAGGCTCACTGATATTGGAAGATATATAATTCGGTTAGTGTATATATGTTTTTAAATTTCTTCAAAATATTGTAGTATTGTAGTTATTATTTATAACACTTTGATATATTTTTTTTGATCAGTGAAATAAAAGATTTTATTAAGAAACTGAAAATGAAGTACAAACAAGGCAAGGGAATAGAATTGCATCATTGTTTAGAAACCCGCATCCCAATGTGCAACTTCCCAGCCAAAAACACCCAAGAGTTGGAAAGATTCCAACTCAGCACCTCAGAATAAACACTAAAGCAAGCAGCCCTTTATAGTATTAGTAAGGGCCCAAGCAACAGAAAGAAAAAACCAGTAGCAACACTACCAATCCAGAATTTTAACAAAATGGAATCTGCTGCAAATTATACAGGAAATCATTCACAGAAAATGACACTCCCTTGAGGTTGAACTTCACCCAAATGGAAATTCTGACTTTAATGAGTTCACACAATTCTTCCCTACTAGGTTGAGCTCTTTTGAATAGACATTCATTCATATGCTTCCATACTGACCTCAACATTGCCCAAGGGTTACTTTCCATGTTTTTTTTTCTACTTTTATGGAAGAAACCCGACCCCACCATTGCAATAGCTCTTTCACTGAACCTGGTGTTACCCATTGGGTTCGCCACCGATTTAGAATATTTGACCAAACACACCAACTTAATGGGCAAAGCAATAAAACATGATCCACTTCCTCATCCCAATTATTACAGAACACACGAGGTACTGGTGCTTCCATTGAGGATGCCGATTCGCTTTAGGAACACAGAGGTCTTGACCTTCCCTTTCCACGCACCACAACCGAAGAACTGAACTTTAGGTGGAGCAATGTTTTGCCATAGCAGCCTTGAATCTTGCTTATAGGACCATTAGCTGACTCAAGCCAATTGTACATTGAAGCAGTGCTGAAAATACCAGATGAAGATGCTTTCCAAACTGCTCTGTCTTGTTGATACAAACAGGTAGTCAGAGCCAGCTGATGGAGATTCACCAGCCTTACAATTTATCATTTGTCCCAAGCAAAAAGGGCCTTCTGAAATTTAACCTCTGTGATCCTTCCTAATCCTTTCGTTGCGAGATCATCATGAGAGAGTCCATCTTCTCAGTTGACAAAGTAAGTAACCTTGGAAATTCATCTTTAAGAGTGAAATTTCCAATCCATTTATCCACATGTTTATATGCCATTTTGACCAACCCTAAGACTTTGGCGCTTTGCTCTAGGCATCCAATGATGAAAATCGGAACACGCAAGATTTCAGCATCTCCAGCAAAAGTCATGTATAAAATTGGATCTCAACCTTACACTCGTTTTGACCAATTGTTTTCAGACCATTAAAACCATTTTCAAATTGTTTTTAGCTGTGTAGAATCCAATCATTTTTGTGATGTTCAAGCTCACCTTTTCAAATCAAAACATTGTACTTTTCGATAACTAAGCAAAGATAGAGTGTAAATGAATGGAAAGGAGGAAAATCCTTTAGAAAAATCCTATTTTCACCTCATTTTTGCCCTGGCCATACAAAATATAAATAGCCGGACAACTTTTATGCATAGTCATACACTTTTTTATATTAGTTGTACAATAGAGTAATGGCCGGACAATTTTGTGATGGCCGGACAAACTTGGCCAGAAATAGAGCAGTTTCTAGAAAATGGTCTCCTATGCATGTGAAGGTGCCACCTCCACAATTCTCATGGGAATTGTGGAGCAAGGCACGTCCTGGCCTCTAGATACACCCTTTTCGTTAGTATTTTCAAGGGTTGAAAGGTTTAGATGAATTGTATAAGCGTAGAGACAACCAAACACTCTCTAAGCTTTGAATTCTTCTAATTCTCTCTCTCTGTACATACACCTATACATATAACTCCATGCTTGAAGACTTGAAGCTTTTGGTTGAAGATTAGAGGCTGAATTCAGAGGTTTAAGGGTGCCCAGAGATTGAATTTCTTACTTTCTCACCCTCCAAACACCCTATTTTTTGAGTTTCTTTGATTATGTGTGTGTTTGGGAAGTGGGTTTTTTTTAGTTGTAAGATATTATTGGAGAAATTTTTTTGTGTTTGGGAAGATAATTGGGTTTTTTTGTGATTGGATGTGATATTTGTGAGAGAAAAAGTGAAATGATTATGGAGTTTGATGTGATATTTTGTTTGGATTTGTTTTCTTTGGTTTTGTAACCAATTTGTCTTTTAGTGAACAAAAACCAAAAAACCTCATTCCCAAACACCCCCTATTTAGATTGCTTATAGACTTGTATAGAGGGTAACAGTCTCACCCTATGCTTTGTTTTCATAATTGTCTCGTTTTCTTTCATTTTCTAACCAATTCTCTCATTATCCAAACATGTTTAACTCTCATAATTCAGTCCTTATTCATACTTTGATGAGCTATTGTGATAGTTTTGTGGGGTTAATTAGGTGATTCATGAGTTTAATTGGGTGATTGGAGAGTTTTTATTTTCATTTTCCTTCATTTTCTCATATTTTCTTCTTTACTTTCTTGGAAGCCAAACATGGCTTCCACCTGGAAATGGCTTGCAATCTAATCTCTACATCCACGTTTCCATGGATTTGATAATCTATTTACTCTTTTCCATAGGTAGAGATGTAGATTATTTTCTATTTCTTTGATTTCAATCTCACTTTTTTATAAGTTACTCTTATGATCATCATTGATTTTTCCATATCTTGATGATCAAAGAAGTCTTATCATTTCATCATCTTCTCTATGACGAGCAAGGTAGTTCTTACCTTAGTTCCTTTCTTCATTTTACTTCTATGATCATCCCATGATTTTTCTATATCTTTGATAATCAAAGAAGTTCCATCTTCTCATGACTATTCCATGATGAGAATGGTGGATTTCTTTTATTTTGTTTTCCATCCCTTGATTGCTTCCATAGTCATCATGTAATGATTCATATTGCTTGATGATTAAGGTAGTCAATCTATCTCTTCCTTGATTATTGTCATGATAGGAGGGGTAGATTACATTTATTTTAATATATGCTACTCTTTCTCTCGTCTTTTGGTGATTGAGATTGAGATTCTCTATTTTATTGCTCATTTGGAAGCTTCTATGGCATAAGTGAATTTAATTCTCTCATTATTCATGATGATTGAGGATGAATTCATCCTGTCTAGCTTCTAGTGGCATTTTTACAGAATTATAGTGCTTCTCTTTTACATTCCTATGTTAGAGAAGTACTTTGGCTAATTTTCTTTCCATTACTTCATTTTAACTTCCTTTGCTCAGTAGCTTCTCCATTCTCAATTTTTTTCCTTGATCGGCAAAAAGAAACTTTATTGATTAAGAATCAAGGAATAATCCTTACATCATACATCAACAAAGATAAAAACTAAGTAGGTGCTATAAGCATCAAAGTGATATCCCTTTATCCCAAATAGGTAGGCGCGAAAGGACACACCCAATCATTTGCAGCACCTACACCAACAAGGCTGAGGAGAGATCAACCAAACAGAGGACTAAAATAACAACTACCAGCAACCTAAGAAGCAGGCAAAACAAACAACTAATGCCCCCTAATTGCTTTAAGCCTAAACACCAAATCAAAAACTGAATAACTCAGCCCGTCCCACATCGGAAGTTTGCATGGGCTATCTTAGGCATATATAGCACCACTAACTTGCTACTAAGTAACTTGGACTTGAGCTTTAGGGTCATGTTACCCATAAGTTACTTGGGTCAGCAGGTAGTGGGGCATTATACTCACCCCTGTGATATGGTATTGCCCCCCAAGTACTCTTATCCAGCGTCTTAAACTTGAATCCATCCCACCATTCCAGCAAGTGACTCACAGATTGTGGAACAACCCATTGAATACCCCACCATGACAATGGCTCTGTTTAGATTTTCCAGGCAAATGGGCAATGAAGAAGCACATGGTTCACTTCTTCATCATTGGAGTTATGGAAGATGCATAAAGGGCCAACATTTGGATCAAGAACACCTATGTTTTGTAGAAACACTAATGTTTTCAGTCTGTCCTTCCAAGCCAACCAACATGTGAATTGCATCTTTGGAGGAGCAATATTCTTCCAAATTGACCGAGGAACAGTAGGCAATGGACCAAGATTCAAATTGAGCCAATCATAAACTGACTTAACAGTGAATAGGCCTGATGCTTCAGCTCTCCAAACCAGCCTGTCATCCTTTACTTCACTCAGTGCAGGGCTGGATTGAAGTATATGAATGAGCTGAAAACAATCGTCCACCTCCCAAGAAAACAATTGCCTTCAAAAGGAGAAATCCCTATTAACAAAATATCCTTCGAGAAGCCCCTATTAACACTCCCAAATCTCCACCACCATTTGACAAGAAGACACAAATTCACATCACTTAATCTTCTAATTCCTAGGCTCCCTGCATCCCTTCCTCTTGAAACATCACTCCACTTTACCATGTGGATTTTTCTCTTCAAGTCAGATTTTCCCCACAAAAAATTAGCTTGGATTCTTTCAAGTTCTTTAACCACACTTACAGACATCTTAAATAAAGACAAGTAATCACTATAATACACTGGCAAACTTGACAACACAAATTTAGCAAGTGTTAGTCTACCCCCAAATGATAAGTGTCTTCTCTTCCGTGTTGCAAGCCTCAACTTGAACTTCTTAACTATAGGGCTCCCAGGTAGATTTTAATCTAGGACTTGCACCAAGAGGCAGGCCTAGAAACTTGAAAGGAAGTTCTTGTTTGGAACAATTAAGTGCATCAGCTAAGTACATTTAGCTTTGATTATTACATTTAGCTTCCATTGTTCTTCTCATTTTACTTCTTTTAGTGTAGATGTATGTATATCGGTTTCTCATTTCTATTCTTTTTTTATTTGGAGCTTTTCATATTTTGGCATCATATTTTCTTTGTTCATAATTTTTTACATCCATTTTTCATGCATAAGACTTGGCTCATTATATTTAATGCTCTCTTCATCTCTTATGTGATTATGTGCGCAATCCCATGTTTTGAGACGGTTCATATATCATATACTAGTAGCTAAGCCTTTAGTTGCATTTTGGTGTATGTATTGCATTAGTTTCTTTGCACCAAGGATCATGCATGTTTTTTGTAACCCTTTACGCTTGGCTTGGTGTGGATGAGTTCTTTTATCTTTGCATCTCATTTGTGCTTGTTTTTCTTATTATGTTTGTCATTCTGCCATGTGACTAATTGTTTACTTGAGATATCTGTTTGATTGCCGGTGGGTGGAGGTTATTTCACTTAAGTTGGAATGTTGATTTACTATACGTGTGAATTCATCTTTTCTTTTGAGTTGCACATTTTCAACTTTTTTTTTTCTAAAAACGCAGAGATCAAAGTATTCCAAAATAAGTGATTTAGTCTATATTTATTTGCTTCATATAGTAATTTTAGCATTGATAATCAGAACTAATCATTTATTGGTAATGAATTTCATGTTGTGAATTAGTAGATGCCGATTTTTGATCGGGTGGGTGCTCAATTCATGACCTTTTCTCTTCATACCTAAGTTCTAGAGTCGAGATACCTTGGTTACGGCGGATAGTGGCCTTTTGCATGAGTCATGAGTTTCCTAGTTTTCCGAAAAGATTAGATGGCCATTCTGGGTCTAGTGATGCAGCCCATTCTTGGCATTTCTTGTGACTAGCGGGTTTTATGGATTTACTAGATTTGGACTCTCATTTTGATTCACATTGCACACTCGTGAAACCAGATCAAGGGTTTGAACTGCTAGACGCTCTGAAAGTACCCCTTCTTGGAGGGGATCACACAACCCAGAAGTTGATTTGGCTCCCATCCCCTACTACAATTGCAGCCTTGGAAATAAAAAAAAATAAAACAAATTAGTGTGGCTAAAGCAATAGAAAGAATATCTTTCCATACTCTTGAGAGTCTATTGTTGATTTCAAAATAGGGTAGCCATCTTCCCCCCAACAGTCCATATTTTGAACAGAGAAGTTTCTTCCATCATCAACCCCAAATCTCCACCACCATTTTGCCAGAAGGCAAAAATTCACCTCCCTAGCTCTCCTAATGCCCAACCCACCATGGTTTTTACTTCTAGTGACTTCCCCCCCATTTAACCATATTGACTTTTCACTTCAAGTCAGATCCTTCTCATAAGAAAGCTGGTTGAATTTTATCTAATTCATTAGCGACACATTCAGGAATCTTGAAAATGGATAGACAATAAATAGGTAAACTTGACAAAACCAATTTAATGAGAACCAATCCACCTGCGAAGGACAAAAATCTCCTTTTCCATGTTGAGAGCCAATCAATAACAGTTTGATATTAATTGCTTTTATGTAGGGGCGTGATGAAGAATGTAATGCATTGTCATCGCAATGGAATAGCTCACTGTAATCTAAAAAGTGACACTATTATCTTGGATGAAAAATATGACGTGACATTGACGGGAAATCAATATAGCCATAATCAGAAAGATATGAGAAAGGATGGTGCAGATTTAAAGACTATACTTGAAATTCTGATAGGCAATGAAATCCCCAAAGATGTTGCTCATCTCTTGAAATTACTTGGTAACTACCAAAGGTATTTTTATTTACATCAACTTTCGAAAATATTTAAAAGTTAAAAGCATTTTTGAATTTGATACTAATTATTAGTTTTATTATTTTTATTTTCAGTTACAATCAGGACATCATGTTTCACCATTCATGCCTCTGGACACCATTTGAAATGATAAAGAATATTTTCCTATTTCGGATGGAGATTGGCTGTTCTCCAAAAGTTGTCGTTGACCACGTTTGGAATGCTCTCAGAAACTTGCCTGAAGAGAATGTCGATTGGGCGTCTTTAGTATGTATGCATCCATTATACAAGAGAGCTTTTGACAAATGGCAACTTGAGGGTGTTCATAGTGGTGGAGTACTCTTTATCTTTTATGAGGATGTGCTTCATTCATGTGCATCAGCATGTGGTATGTTTTCGTTTATACTGAGTGGTTCATATATTGGAAGCATTTTAAGGAAAAAATTCAATTTACTTCTTTTGGTTTGAGGTTGAAATATTTTTACCTTACGAGATTTTATTATTATTATTATTTTGGGATGGCGTAGAAAATAAATCAGGCGTCACAAAAGGAGAAAAAGAAGGAAGAGGTTAGACCATTGAGACGAACAGAGAATGATTTATTTGTACTGTTTCCACTATACATGCCACATTTCCTGGAGCACACCAAGTTTTCTGCACTTGTAAAAGGTAACTTTATAGTCTTAGTCTATAGAGTTATGGATGTATTTTATAATTTTTCTGAAACAACTATTTGATTTGCAGGAATTTACAGAAGCGATTTCTGAATGCATTGAAGCAGTTCACTTCAAATTTGAATCATGGATTCACATGGAAAAGTTTTTCTTACCAAGGCAATTGGACTTAGTTGCTTAGGATAGGGTAACTGATGAAATTTGATAGTACTACATTGCTGTATGTTTTTTTATCTTTCATTTTAAGTGGTGATCCTGTTGCTTCCTCTTTAATTATTTTAAAAGCAGACATTGATCGGAAAATATCTATTTACTATATATCTGATCTTCTTCTTTGGGTATATCTATCTACTATATAATAAGTTAGTCCATTTTAACAGTGTTTTTACTGTTCATCAATGGCTCTTTTTTTTTGGGCAAATTACATATACACCCCTCGAGGTTTGGCTAAATTACAGATGCCCCCCTGAGGTTTGAGAAATTACGAATTCCCCCCTGAATGCTATATTTGCATAAGAAATTAGGGGGTAATTTGTTATGAAATATAAACCTCAGGGGGCAAATTGTTATGAAAATACAAACCTCAGGGGGCGGGATGTAATTTCCGAAACCTCAGGGTTCATCAATGGCTCTTTTTTTTTTTTTTCCTTGAAAATACCTTTTTACTTTTTAGCTTCCAACACATTTGAGTGAGGATCTTTCGGTAGTTTTTCATATAATTACTTCCTTGTCCTTTAATTTTGTGTAGGTTGGAATCAGGTTCTCCTTATTTATCAGTTTTAGATATTCTTTTGTAACTTCTATACTTCTCCGTCTGTTTGGCTAGATGGCATTAGGCCATCATTACATTCCATTTATTTTTGTAATTTCTATACTTCTCCTTCTGTTTGGCTAGATGGCATCAGGCCATCATTACATTCCATTTTCCCCTTTAAGACAAAGAAAGCTTTTCCTTGCCATATGACTATATGTATTGAAAAATTCATTGAAAAAAATTACACAAGCTTAACATGGCAATATTAATTTTTTACATTAAAGTTATTGTTTTACAAAAAAAAAAAAAAAAAAAAAAACCTGTATTGAGCCTTGTCCATTATGCATATAAATTTTGTATGATTTTTTTAGTAAATTCCATCGTAAGACTTATGTTTCATCTAAGTCATTCTTTTTGATCCATTAGGTCCTATTTGGTATAATATGATCAAATTAATTTTCCAACTTTATGTGCTTGTTTTTATTTTGAAATTAATATATAATAAAAAAATAACAATAATTCTTTATTCTATGCAGAAAATTTTTCCCTTATTTCATGAAAAATATTTCTCCTCATTCGAGGGAGAATTTCTTCATTCTAGGAGAAAATCTCTCCATCATTCGGGAAAAAAATCTCTTCCTCATTCTATAGAAAAAATTTCTTACATTGTCAAAATCTTAAATCGTCTATTTTTTGAAAATCTCTCATTACATGTTGATGTGAATTTTTACATTATAAATGTATGCTGATAAATAACATCTCTGTATGGAACTATACACACACTATGTTACATGAGTGTGCGAACATTAATAGTGTGACTACCTATTTGTGTAATAGAATTAATGTGAACATTCACATTTCTATATACACCATGTGACCAAAATAACACATTGTTGTTTATTTTAGGATGACTACTAATATACAACTAACCTTTGAATCAAAGTATAATGTGAATGTTTACAATAAACAATAAACATACAACTAACCTTCAAAAAAATAAAACTCAAATCAAAATATAATGTGAATATTCATAATTTATAATTAACATATATTTACCCTTAAAAAACTATACTCATGTCAATGTGAACAATCACACCGCAACGTGAAAATATAAAACAAAAGTGAAAAAAAGTAAAAATCAGCTATTTCGATTATTCAATGACAACAAAAATGATTGTTTAACCATCAAGTATCATAACAAAAATAACAAGAAAAAATCTACTATTTCGATTGTTCAATGGTAACAAGGAATACCTGCTGTTTTGATGAAAAACACAAGAACAAGCAAATAAATTTCTTACTTGCAAGCCTCCCTCAAGCTTGGGTTCCAAGTTAGGGTTGATGTTTTTCAATCGTTAGAGTATTTTCAGAAGCCTAAAGTTGCTTTAGGGTGTGAGAATTACGGAGCTAAGGCAAAGAGAGAGAGAGAGAGAAAGATAGGGTTTGGCACTCAAAAGCTCTAAAAATGGCTTCAATTCCTTAACCCCTTCAAAGAGAGGGGGAGGGGCTCTATTTATAGAGTTGGGGGAAGCTTTTGGAACCCTTCTAGGGTTTCATCGCTTCCACTTTCGCCGTTTTCACAAAAAATGCACCAAGATTGAGTTTCTAAAAATAACTTTGTGATGTCTTAATGTGTGCACGTACAAATTTGGTGTGCACGCTCAACGAAGGTGAACACGTGCACACTATGTATGCACCCACATCTAACATGCGTACGCGCGTTTTTTTCTTGCTACATGTGCTATGCACGCATACACAAGTATGTGGTCCTATGCCCTTGGCTTGCTTGTGGCATAAGTAAGCCCGAATTGCATTTTGATCAATGTTTTTGATGAAATGGGTCACAAATTTTGGAAAATACAATCAATCAAAGCACAATCAACCTTTCCGGGGTAAAGAAGTTGGTTTTTCGACTAAAAATGGGTCCAGGGGTAAAATGGTTTTTTTTGCAAAACGTTGATTTTTGGCTAAAATGGGTTTATACAGCAACTTTAAACATCCTTAAACATTCTAAAGGCTAAAATAAGTACCATTTCATCATTAGGAGGCCTGGAAGCGCCCAAAATCTTAGGGCTAGTCAAAATAGGGTGTATACAGTTGTCCTTCTTTGATAGAGCTCAAATAATCATGAAGTGATAAGAAATGAATGTCAAAGACCCGAGACCATCCCAGTTGACATGACCCTTAGGCTTAAGGCAGTGCCATACATTCAAGCAAGTGATCAAACCCACAGGCTGCTTACGTATCTTGATGCAAGGAATCAGATTAGTGTAGTTCGGGGGTGGTTGTACAACAATTCATATGTGAGTGAGTGTGTGTGTGCAACAAGTACTTAAGCATTCATCCAAGCATGCATCAAAAGAGAGGAGAGCAGGCAATACCTGCCATACTCACTTTGCCATACCTATGCCAAGCTTTCTTCCATTTGTTTCTAGGTTGTGCCAGTCCTGCAAGTTTTTTGAAATAAGACTATCCCAAATAATAAATCACACCACAGTGTGGTTAGAGTAATGCCATTATGATTCTAATGATGCCAATATATTCCTTTTTATGTCCGTATCGATGAGGCAAGTGTGACAACCCTCACCTCTGATTAGTGTTAAACTGTGTTTGAGCATGATAAGTAATTGATTAGAATGAAATCCTAATCTGTTTGCATGAGTGTGTTGTTTAAATGCATTCCTATCTGTTTGATTACTGAATGAATCTGTTCGTGTTTTAATTTCGAATTGCAAATTGAAGGCCTTATCGGTGACCGAATCAGAAATGGATTAGTGTTATATGCTAGTTAGGATTTATGTAATTTTATGGTAGGTTTAATTAAAACTTGATTTGGAATGATTGAATTAGATTAAATAATGTTAAACTAATTGAACCTAGGCAATTACACTTTTGCCATTGAGTGGCCATTTTCTAAAACATTGTTTGGGACTTAATTCTTGCATTTGATGCATTATCTCATCCACCCCCAAGACCAAAACCGAGAGAGAGAGGGAGAGTAGGAGAAAAAACTTGATTTCATCAAGAGTTGCTTGGAAAATAAGAGGAATTGTAGGAGATTTGCAAAATTGAGCCAACATACTTGGAATTCAAGACCTAAGATAGGAAATTCATCCTCCTAATTATGAATTTGAGTTGTCACATGCATGGTTCATGATAAATTAGTGATTTGAGTCAAGAATTAATTTAAAGTGTTGTTTTGAGAGTGATTTCATGCATGCATGTCCATATCATAGAATTTTGAGGTTTTTTCCATGAAATCCACACATGCATGCTCACTTTTTGGTTGTAGTCCATGAATTCACCATAGTTTTGAGCTCAATCTTGCATTTGATCATGTTTTGGAGCATTGGAATCCATAAAAACTCATGCATGTTATGTTCTTACATAGTTCATGAAAGTTTCTTTGAAATTGTGTTCAATTGTCTCACATTTGGGCTTGATTTTACAAAATTGATTTTCAAAACATGTTGTAGTATGAGTTTTCAAGTGTTTTCTAGAAAATTGGCCCAAAAGGTTGAGTTTTGATATGTTTAATTCTTGGTTTAAGCCTTGGGAGCAAATCTGGAAATTCCAGATTTTGGCTTCCACGCTCGAGCGACCATCTTTTTGTTCAGAGCCCCGCTCGAGCGACGGAATGCTGGCTCGAGCGTAGATTGCAAGCTCTCAGGTTTTTGTCCATGTAGACACACGCTCGAGTGACAAGACCTACGCTCGAGCGAGGAACTGTGTCTCACGCTCGAGCGAGCATCGAGCGGGGATTTTCAATAACCAGTACTTTTGCATTTTTACAGACCGCTCGAGCGAGGGAGTCTACGCTCGAGTGACCCCTCTGTTTTGGTAAGCTCGCTTGAGCGTAGAAAGACACGCTCGAGCGAGACCCCTGTTTTCAGCAAATTTTAAAAAGTGTTTTAAAGTGTAATTTTTGCATCCTCATCCCATCGTAGGCATTCCTAGGCCATGTTTAAGGCATCTTAATGAGGATAATGTTATAGAACCACACCAATTCAAGATAGGGGCCAAGTTATTAAATCCAATGTGTGTAACTTAGTGTGTGTTCGTTTTGTAACTGTGTAGAGTTGGCACCTGAGGACGCTGACTAGCCTATCTATAGCCCAGTAATCTGTGAGTAACAATGTTGTAAAGATACGTTCAACTATAATTATTTCTGAACGATTGACTGTACTGCTTTCTGAAACGGCATTACTTACTGAATGAATGTTTGTCCTATTTGTAAACTGTACTCGTGGCATCCATAGCAACTTACTATTACTGTACTGTCACTGCTACTGTTACAGAGATCTCTGTCAGTTCTAATGTTTGGAACTACTACTGTTTACTGTTATGATGGCCATCAACTGACTGTTCGGTCTATTAAGACCTACTGTACTGTTTTGCTATTGGACGTACCACGTATGACTGTTATGATTTCTAAATGACTGATATGGCATGAAATATGAGCCACTGATTGAATAACTGATTCACTGATGTAAATGACAATTTTAATTGATGAAAGGACATTCATTCTTAACCCTTTTACGCATTAGTTATTCAATGGG